TTTTTTTTATAATAATTAATTTACTTTATAATAAACAATTAATTTAGTGTAGATTAAGTTAGGAATTTATTAAAAACAAAATAATGTCATTAATTACTCGAACAAAAACATAAAAAAAATCCAAGTTAAACATCATTAAAGGTTTGTTTAATTTGTGTCTTAAGATTACAAAGTAAGACTTATTAATTAAGATATTTTTAATTAATTTTACATAAATTTTCATATTAAATTTATAATTTTTTTTTATAGATTTTGAGTATATATTATATTATATTATACCAACGAGGGGTTGGATCAAGTGGCAAGCGGCTTGTTCCAGCTTAACCAAGGTCTCGAGTTCGAAACCTTGTGTACGCAGCAGTTTTCGTTGGAAGACCCACCCACCATTCTGGTGCACCACAGCTGGTCGAGTCCGGAGTAGTCGGGGCGAAGCCCCGGATACCGGGCGGGAAACCAAAAAAAATTATATTATATTATATTTTTACATACTATATTATATTTTATTTAAATTTTATATAAAAATATTTTTTATTAAGAGTAATGATAGAAAAGATAAAAATTTAAAACTACCGATGTGATTTATATCACGTCATTAAATTAATTGATGCATACAATATTATTGATTTAAAAAAAAAAAAAGTTATCAAATAATATAAGGTCATCTTTTAACATTTTAAATAATATAACTTATGCCTACTTTTTAGTTCTAGATTTTGATTTTAAATTTTGACCTCATTTATCATTATTTTTTATTAAAGCAAGTTTGAATTGAGCATTTTTTAATGAGTTGATTATTTGACAATTAGATGCAATTTGTACTACAAAATCCATTTTCATGTTCTAATTAAGAGTGACTTTGGAAGTTTGGATTGATTATTTAGGAGGGAGAGGGAGGAAGAATCATCCTCATCCCTAAATGATCGACCGCCCACGGCTAAAGAAAATGACTCGTTGGACTAGTGGAGTACCAAAAAAAAATAACAAAATAAAATAAAAGAGAGTTTCAATTCCGCCACTAAAATTTTGGCAACCCAACGTCCACTTGTAATTGCACCAAGCCAGAAGTCCTTCTTCAGTCCGCGCCTGCACTCCGGGATGACCTGCAAAGCCCCGAGGTGGAACTCGGGGTAGACACTCCGATGCTGAAGTCAGCAATAATCGGAGCTACCTTTAGGGCGGAGATAAAAAGAGCTTAGGGTTGGTTTCAATTCCCTTTTTAACGTGGCCTGGGGGGGTATTTATAGGATCCAATGAGGAACCCATGTGTCATGCCAAGCAAGATAATCGGAGCCTGACGTGTCCATCCAGACGATTATTCCGGGACCGGGAATTTGAGAGGTATTCAGATGCACGGGTGTCTACCATACTTGCTGTACCACTCATCATAAGGAATCAGGTGTGGACATGCTTATTGTCATTATCATGCAGCTATTTGAGCGGGAAGCTTTGGATTCATTCCTCACTTCGGTCATAAAGGAATTAGTGTAGCAGTCCGAGGCTTGGCACCTCGGACCTGTCCTTACACCACCTCAACTGGAGATTCACTTGGAATGGATCCCACCCGTTGGAAAATCCTTTTTAAGACTCTCTTGGGTTAAATTATTATCATATTTTAAATAATTAATGTTATATTATTTTAATATAATTATTTATTATATTTTTATATTATATGTATTTTTTTAATTTTTAATTTTTAATTAATTCAAAATTATAATAATAAATTAAGATAAAAAATTTGATATTTATAATTAAAGATGTAAAGATAACATTACCTAACTTTCTCATCAAAGGAAATATCACACAAACAGCTTCCATAATTACAATAGAAGAGCCAGAACTCGTGGGTCAAAATAGAGTAGTGTTATAATCCATGTCAGTGATAATCAACTTGGGAAAGCTTTCCTAAGTAATTGTATCAACAACATGCACAAAGATACCTTAGTAAATTTTAATAAATTACTTAGGTACTTGACAATACTAAAGAAAGGTCATTGAATCAATGACTAAACTCCTACAGTCATTGTTGTCAAAATCACGAGTTATCTCGTAAACTCACACGATTTTACATTCTTAGGAATGGAAAATGAGTTAAATTGTCCATAAAATCGATATTTCATGAACTCACAGTGGACTCGCCGTAGACTAGTTAAATCGTTTGAAATTGGATGAACGCACGAGTTTACAAAATCTGAACTTTTGCATTGGGTCTCAATGGATTGGCTTTGAACTTGTAACTTTCGTTTGTTTGATTTAGAAACTCTTACTGATGATTTGTTTCCAAAGGGAGCAAAGAAACATGGAGAAAGGAAGCTTAAATGGAGCAAAAATGGAAGAAATCTATTGCCCAAAAAAGGAACAAGGATGAAAGAGTAAGCCAGGTTGAAGGGAAAGCCATGAAGGATAAAATATGTTGCAAGAAAAAAAAAGGAGTAGATAAGGAGAAAGGGAGCTTGAATGGAGCAAAAATGGTAGAAAAGAGGGAAAATGAGAGTGGAGAAAGCAATGAAGGTGAAGGGATTGAGGGGTAGCCATTTTAATGGGGATTTTGTTGACAGGTGGGATTGGGTGTTTGTTTTATTTTTCTTTTTTCTTTTTTAAATTTTTGAATAAAGAAAGTGAATGCGATTTAATTTAAACATTAATTTCTCTTTTTAAATTTTTAATTTTTAATTTTTTTCTATTATCATATAGTATAATATTAAATTTTAATTTTTATTAGAGTTATTGTAAACTTTAACCTCATATTTAATTCTGTATTGTTGAATTTTAGTTATATTAATAAATAAGTATAATTTTTTTTTATTTATTAAATTTAGTAAACTCTCGGTTTTACCAATTCGATTTTACAATTCCGATTTCACTTGACCAAAACAATTTTACATAAAATCTTGATTTGGACAAGCTTGCCTACAACTTATATAGCAAGACAACATATGTTGGTAAATATTAATATACATTGACATAACAAGCTATACCAAATAACAGTCACAGAACCGACAGTTGGAGCCCTAGAAACAAAACAACATAATAGTTCATGTAAGTAAATATTTAAATTCATAAATGTGGTCTATGGGATAGCATAAAGGTACGTGTCACAAAACACCTAATTGTATCCATTATATGGCAACATATATGGGAAAAAAGAGAGAATGAGAAGGAGAGCTAAAGAGAGAGAGTGATATGGAAGCAAGACAAGCAAGTAGCATAAAGTAAGGAATGATACAGCCAGTAGGGTAGGGGTCAAAGATTCCAACCAGATTAGTGATTTGACAAGTCAGCGTACAACCAGGCAGTACCGTTCTTTTTTACAAACTTTTTGAAGATTGGAAGCAAGAATAAATGTGGCACACTTTCAGCAGATTTGGGAGGGTCTTGGAAGTCTATATTCTAGAGAAGAGGGATAAGTATGGAAGGCGATTTGGGTTTGTTAGATTTCAAGACATAAGGGACACCAAATGTCTTGAGGTAGACCTCGATCAGATCAAAGTGGGAGAAGTGAAGATTCATGTCAATCAGCTACGGTTTAGGTGGCAAACAAGGGGACATGATCTAGAGCATCACAATAAGGACATAAGAGTTGCATTCAGTGATGTAACCAGAAGAGCAGGGGTATCTTATGCTGAAGTTGTAAAAGGAAAGGAGGTGAAGGGTCAAGGCTTTGGTAATGTGGTAAAGAAAGGAGAAGAGTCAAACTAAAGACCAAAAGCTGAAAGCAATATGCAAAGGAAAAAAAAAATAAGGGAATAGAGAGCCTAGAATCATACAATAGATTGGAAGGGTTGGGAATTAAACATTGAAGAAGCAAATTTTGAGTGGATGAAGGCAGCTATGTGAAGGCAGCCCGAGCAATAGAAATAATTCCAACAATCCAGGAAAAGTTTTGTATGGAGGCTTATTTCTTAGTGACATTGAAACCAATGGGGGGGGGGGAGTTTGTCTTGATTCAGAGTGGGAACAAGGATGAATTATAGTTCCTAGTGGAAAATGTAGGTGATTGGTTAGCATAATGGTTTGTTGAAGTTAGACCTTGGTCATCGCCTTTGGTTGCTTCAGAACGATTTGCATGGATCAAATGTCAAGGTGTACCTTTGTATGCATGGGATCCCAAGTTCTTTTATGATTTGAGTATAATCTAGGGAGAATTTATAACATTGGATAATAATACCAGTAATCGAAAAAAATTTGATGTGGTGAGATTTTTTATCTCCACTTCCTATGTGGAAGTAATCTTAAAGATGCTTATAGTGAAGATAAATGAGGAATTTTATACTATTAAATGTACTAAGGAGGAACACACAAATAATCTGTTCACTATGAAATTTGATTATGTGTTCAACAATGAATCTAAAAGTGAAGATTCAAGTGAATCATGGTCCTTGAGTTCCCACAAAGAAATAATGTCTATTCAAGGAAATTTTGAGAAATCTTCAGCACTGTTCGAATTCAATGAAGAAGGCGATGATAATGTGGCTTCATAACAATAACTAGGAGAATAGGGGTCATAGGATCATGTGATGGCCAAAACATGGCTTAGGCAAACTCCAACAATTGGTGATGATGGTTCCAAGACCAAGGAAAATAATCCAACAAACATCCCAGAGCTAATGAGTGTAGTAGCATAATCTAATAGCAATGATATGGCGGCAGATGTAATTATTCATAAGCGGGATAATGACAAAAA